TTTGGAACCAACTACATCCACACCAACTTTCCACTTTATATTGTAGTATTTACTATGTTATCATCCCAGCCTAGTTAAATTTCTGACAGTTGTTTAAGATTAAATGAGATAATGAGATGTGCTTAGTAGAGAGTCTGACTGCTTTGTACTATAAGTAATAACCAAAAGTCTCTCAAAATGACTGAAATCAGTTCGCAGACTTTATGGTAAAACTGAGAGCAATAAATAGACCTTATGTTGTTACTTAGTGTGCATATGTGCATTATCATGGGATCACTGTATGAAACCAATTCAATAATGTGTAGAACTGTGCTGCATATGATGTTGAATGGAAAAATAAAGAATGGTGGATCAAATTTAGGTTTTCCCAATCAGTACCCAGAGCCCTGAAATTTAGGCTTTCCCAATCAGTACGCTAGCTCTGGCATCTCAATACCACATATAAACTTTTTCTCAATCTCCTATTCCATTATTATTCGGTTACTTCCATTAAAAATTTTTTTTGTTAATTTACTTGTATGTGTATGAGTATTTTGCCTGTATACATATAAGTATATCCTGTGTGTGCACTGACTGCAGAAGCCACAAGAGGGTTCTGAGGACCCCTGGAATTGGAGTTACACATAGCTGTCAGCTGCCATATGAGTCCTGGAAACCAAACCCAGGTCCTCTGCAAGAGAAGTCAGAGCTCTTAACTGCTGAACCATATCTTCAGCCTCTATTTCCATTTTTAAAATTTTTATTTATTTTTATTTTATGTGTATGCATGTAGGTAAGTGCACCCATGTCATGCAGTGCCCGCAGAGGTCAGAAGAGGCTGTCGGATCCCCTGGGACTGGAGTTACGGACAGTTGTTAGCTGCCATGTGGGTGCTGGGATTCGAACCTGGGTCTTCTGCAAGAACAACCAGTGTTCTTAACCGCAGAGCCATCTCTCCAGCCCCCTCTATTTCCATTTTTAAAAGAATCTCGCAGTTTGTAAATGAAAAGAGGACAGGTATGTTAAAAACCTACCTGAATGTACTTCACCTGATTCTGATTGCATGTCAATTTTAAACTCTATATTTTTTAACCCACCAAAATGCTGTTGCCAGAAATGTACAGTATCAAATTGCTTCTTTGAGTTTGTCAGGACCCAGAGTCTCTCTAAGCCATTTTAAAAGGAAAGCATTATCCTACTTCTCCCAGAATATGGATCCATTAGTTTACTGAACACTCTACTTAAATAAGCCAGTTTCAACTACAGTAATTTTCCTCTGTGACACACATCTTTGTTTTTCAAGCTGATATTCTATATGGGACATAAAAGTACTGTCCCAATAATTATTGTCACTGGCCTTTCATTATTCACTATCGAAATCAATAATTATATGAGTAACTTTTGATAATAATCTTTTCCCTTTGATGAATTGAGTTATGGGCTCAGTAAAGTAAACTCCTTTGGCTAATGATGCTGGCTTCAGAGGCTACATATAATTTATGCTGGGAGCAGTTCTGTGCAGTTACTTTCATGTCACTGTGACAATACCTAACAAAAAGAACTCAAAGGAGGAAAAATTTATTTTGGCTCAGTTTCAGAAATTTCATTCCATCTCTGTGAAGAAAATACAGCAGCACAAACTTGTGGCTGAAGCTGTTCAAAATCATGGTGGGCCAGAAAGCAGAGGGTATGCTGGGACAAAGGGCTGGGAATAACCTTCACAGCCCACTTCAAAGCAACTTAGATACCATCTCCTAAAGGTTCTAGACTCTCAAAATTGCACTGGCAGCTGGAGAAGATATTTTCAAAAATATGAGCCTGTAAGGGGCATTAGGATTCAAATCACATTTGATAAACTTTTCCTGGTTATGTGACCCTTGTTCACCTGAGTATGCTCAAGTAAAATAGCATCCATTGCTTTGGCACAATACGCACAGTAGTCAATAACCTGGTGGCTCATATTGTGTTTTCACTGCTCTTTGATTCTAAGACAAGTTCAGATAGGTTTGGTGAACAAGGAAGACTAAAACAGATCAGGAGACATCACTTCAGCTTGATTACATACTCCATTTGCACCAGAGCAGCAGCTAGGCAAAAACTGGGATATTTTAGAGACACACTTTTGCCCGCATTTTTTGAACTATTAATTTCTAAGGGCTAGGTATAAGCATTTTTATTCTGGATGTTTTTTAATATTAGTTGATAGATACTATGTCTAGAGGGTTGAGCAAGTCCCATTTAATCATATTTTTAAAATATTTTTATTATTTTATGTGTATGGTGTGTGAGTGTATTGCTTGCACGTATGTAAGTGCACCTATATCATGAAACTGCCACAGAAATGAGAAGAGGGTGTCAGATCCTCTGGAACTGGAGTTTCCAATGGTTGTTAGCTACCATGTGGATGCTGGGAACCGAACCCGGGTCCTCTGCAAGAGCAGTCAATGCTCTTAATTGCTGAGCCATCTCTCCAGACCCTTTAATCATGTTTTGGACATATACTCTCATAATCTACTTCTGTTACATAAACTGGACATTATTATCAGTCCTGGTATAAACTCTAATAAACTCTAGAAACTATAGTAATAATTTACAGGAAATTCTCACTTAAAAATAAAACACATTACCCTATAATTTTAGCTTATGCCAGTACACATGGAAATTATCTCTTGAATACAATTTTCTTATGATCAGTGTTTCTACAACTATTTTTATTTTCAAAATAATATTACATTTAAGGTGCACACATACTGTTTTGATATAACTGACCACTATAACCAAGTTAATCAATATATCCATCTCTTTAAATACTTCTATTTTTTATGTATGGTGAGAACAGTTGCCATCTACTATAGCAAATTTCAAACGTACAATATAATATCATCAACTAAAATCACCATATGTTACATCTCCTGAATCTATTCATCCTAGATGCTGTGGTTTGGATATGATCCCCAAAGGCCCATGTGTCAAGGGTTTCATCCACAGCCTAAAGCACTACTGAGAGGTGGTTGAACCTTTAGGGTAGGCCTAGTGAGGAGGAAGTTTGGTTAAGGGATGTTGGGACCCTGGCCCTCCTTTTCTTCTTTTTTCCTTTCTGGTCAAGTGACGTCAGCACATTCCTCTACATGCATTCCCACCATGAAGTGCTGCCTCACCACAGGTCCCAAAGCAGCAAGGCCAATTGACTATGGACTGAACCTCTGAAGCCTTCTACTCTTCAAGTTGATTGTCTCAGACATGTAGCTGCAGTGATAGAAACCCTAGTAAGACAAGCTATAATGGAAACTGTGCCCTTTGACAATGTTTCCCCATCTCTCCTGCCTCCAGTGACTACCATTCTACTCTCTGCTTCTATAAATTTGACTTTGTGAAACTTCACTTATGAGATTATGTGGAATTTCTTCTGTTTGCTTTTTGCCTCATATACAGCATAATGTCCTCCAAGTTCATTCACACAGTCCATGTGCATTCATACATGACTTCCTGTTTAAAGCCTCACATTGTATACCAGGTTGGACTTGAATTGCCTGTGCAAGCTCGGGCTGATCTGGAACTCAAGATCTCCTGCTTCTGATTCCAAAGTTCTGTGATTATACACATAAGTCACCTTACCCACACCAATTCTCCCTGAATATTGTAGATATTAACTCTTAAGAAATATGGTTTGCAAATACTTTCTCTCATTCCATAGATCCCCTTCTCAGTTGTAGATTGGTTTCCTTTGCTGAACAGAAACTTTTCAGTTTGATGTCATTATTCATTTGGTCCCTACTCCCCAGCTTTTAGCCTCATTTCCAAACAGTTGTCAAAATGAATGCCAAAGAGATTTCCCATTTTCCTCCAGATATTTTACAGTTTTAAGTCTTAGGTTTTTACTCTTAACCCACAAGGAGTTGATGTAGCATATCGTGTAAGCTCAGGATGAAATCTCATCATTTTGCGTGTGGATGTCTTATCTTTCCAATATTACATATCAAAGACCTTCTCGTACATTTTCGGTATTCTTATTGATAAGTTTATTTCAGGGATCTCTACTCTGGTGGGGGGGGGTGTATGCCTATTTTTATGTCACCACAATACTAACTTGGATGATCAAAGCTTTCTAACATATTTTGAGAACAAGAAACATGCCATTTTATCATTTTTCTTAAGACTGCTTTAGCTATTTAAGGTGTTTTGTGGCTCCAAATCAATTTTAAGAATGTTTTTGCAACTTCTGTGAAAAAAAGAACTTTGGAATTTTTATAGCATCATATTGATTCTGTAGAGCCCTTTGCATTATTGTTGTGCTATCATATACTAGTCAGGGAGATTTAATTCAAATCTGTACATTTTTCCAGTTATACAAGCTCTTGTGATGAATTTTTGTGTTCTAACTTTACCACTGTTTGCTAATCTTTATTCTTTCATCCTAAATTCTTATGTGACTTTAGACTTTACCCTATTATGTGAATGTGTGCAATCTACCTAAAATGCCATGAAGGACATGGGAATACGGGTGTGAATACAGAAACTGAACAATTTATTACCATGTGGCAAGTTCATCAGGCACTCTCCTAGTAGATGACGGTCTTGTCATATACTGTTCTTACGAGTTGTACTGAGAAATGCTAAGAACATTTTCTTCATATCAGGAAACCAGGATCCTGGACCCCACTTAACAAGCAGCTCTGTGAAGCCACCTGGACAAGTCCCTCAATACTCGGTATACACCTCAGTATTCCTAGCACTAATGTGAATGTATCCATTGGAAGGAACTGTTCTCTCTTGTCCCTTGAGCCCTATGGTTTTGATTCAAAGACCACCTGTGTAAAGAGAGCATGGATGCCTGTGTTTCCTTCTCTTCCAAGCTAATTCCAGTTATATCACTCAAAACTGATTCTCTGTTATTGAACAGATTCTTCCTCTAGGGCACTTCTCACTAGATAATTCTTGCTAGGTATTTTATGAAAGAGCTACATGCACTGCAGCAGTGCTGAGCATACCTGGAGGAGGAATGGGACAAGGACACACAATTGCATTGTGCAATACACTTTATTTTCCTTTTACCTTTGCAGCCATCTTTGAGTAATCGTGTAAACAATAGAATGGAATGAAATTACATTAAATTGTATGCAAATGGTTCTAGAACACCTTAACAATTATGACAAGGCAATTATAAATAACTTTTTCCTTAGTAATATATATTTGCTTTTTAAAGTACATTAAAGAGCTGCCATATCTAGGGTTAGCTAGGGAAGAGCAATGGTACCATCCTGGGAGCCCACCTTCTGGAAAGTTTAGACTCCAAATTTGTAAATCCTAACGTCTACTAGGTCCATGTTATATAGTCAAGCAGAGAAGATTTTTGGGTTGGAAATATTTATTCTTGAAACTTTACAGCATTTTAACTTTCAGTCATTGCACAAAACCCTTTCTATTATTTTCTCACCACCTGGATATTCTGCAGAATTTCAAGTAAAACTCAGATTCTGGTATTTTCAAGTTTATCATCTTTAGAATAATAAATCCCATCAGTTAAGGAGAGCCAAATCAAAGATGGGGACATAGATAGCAATCTAACAGAATGGCAACTTTTAAAAAAGTATTCTAAATGTTCCAATGAAGCAAAATTACATATGCCACCTTGTGCAGCAGAAAGTTTATATCTGAGACTATTCCAAAGTAAAGTAGTCTCAGGCACATTCTTAATATGAAATTTGCAAGGCACCTCCCCCTCCCCAGAGACAACTGGATTGTGGACTGGTTTTTAGGCAAACAAACCAAAAGAGTAAGCATCCAAATCCCTAATTCCAACATTTCAAAAATAAGAAGTTACAAATACTCCAAAGATAGACCTGAAAGTTTTTGTTTAAATAAAGAGATTAGCTGCAAGAAGCATATAATCAAAAACTTTCTCCTTAGAGCTAAGGTGTGTAAAGCATAAATATATGAAAAATAAAATTCACAGTCAGTTTTAAAACTAGAATTCAAGTTTGGCTAATAAATCTTAATTTTATAAGTATATTAATTTCTAGGTACAACATAAAAGAGGCAGTATTGTCAGATGTACAATTAAAAGTATTATAACAGAAATATAACAATGAAAGGGGAAACAGGCTTCTGGTAGAAAATTGCGTTTGTTGCCAATAAAGGGGACCACCTGAGTGTATTTTAGACGCTTTGTTTGCAGGCTATCCGAATTGATTGCTAAGAATATTAAATAGCTTTTTCGAAAAATCAGCAACAGTCATGCAGCTGTAGCATTTGCTTGCTCTCATACTGTGGGTTGCTAGAGAAAAATGCGGAACTCAGTGTTGCAAGGTTTAAAAAAATCATTTTTTATCCCATTTCATCAAAGCCAGCCTCTTCACAATCTTCTTTCTTGTAGGGATTTGAGAGTGAGGGGAATGGAGCAAGTAGGGAGGGCGGGGAGTGAGGAAGGAGGGAGCACAACAGATCAGGGTGACAGCAAGGGGCGTACATCAGCTCACACTCAACTGAGCAAACCCGATCAACTTCACTTCATCAGGAATCTCCGACCCGTCACAGCCAGAAGCCTGAAAAGGGAAAGATAAATCTTTAGTGTTGCTTAGTCATTGGTGCAGTTTTTTAAAAATGTGTGTGAAGGCAGGGCCACACAAAGTCATCTGCTTCTCTACGAGAGCCTCCAAGAACCACCCTGTTGAATAACTGCTGGGTGCCAAATGTTGTCAGAAATCTGGTCCCGGTGCCTTCTAGTACAGAGCAGAGGTACAGAATGACTGAATTTGTTATCCACTAAAACAGTACCATGGCCACCCACGCTTGGAGTGTCAGAACTAGTCATTCATTCATCCATCCATCTTCTGAGACAGGGCCTTCAGGCCTCCCTGAAATTCACAGTCCTCCTGCCTTAGCCTCCTAGGTGCTGGAATTGAGAGTGTAAGCCAGCTTCACACCAGTCAATTTAAATGTACTTTCAAGTGAGAGTCTCTAAGCCATATATAGTTTTTAATACTGTGACAATAATCACAGGAGATTAAACAGGTCACTCAAAAATATCTCTCTCTCTAAAGACATGGCCATTTCCTCTGTAATGATAGCCAGAAAAAAAAAAGTAGTTAACAACTGCTAGCATGTATCACTATAGAGGACTGTTACTTAAATGCAGGGAGTTAAGTTTTACAGGCAAAGGTCTTTGCTTTAGTTTGGATTATGGATGTCCCCTAGGCCTTCATGTATTAATGGCTTCATACCAAGGTGCTACTAAAAGGTGGCAGGATCTTTTAGAGGTGGGATTAAATGAAAGTTTTATGTCACTATGAGTATGCCCTTAAAAGGGAAAGTGGTACTGCAGCCCCTTCTCTCTGCCCTTTGCTTCCTGGCTATAAGATCAGTGGTTCTGCTCTGCCATGAATTCCCAGCATGATGTTCTACTCCACCACAGACTCAAATTAATGAGACTGACTAACCGTGGACTGGAATCTCCAAAACTGTGAGCCTGCATTTTCTCTTAATTAAGCTATCTGTGAAATATGCTTTTCATAGTAATTGAAGATGACTAACAGTGTTAGAATTCATTCCTACAACAAAATTTTATTCATATTATTTTAGGACATATTAATTGCCTTAAATCAGCCCAAGTCATAGTGTGTTATTATTTCTGTTACTTCAAAATCAGAAGAATGGAAAATATCCCATCATCTTTAAACTTTTCAATGGGCCTAATTCATTATTTTCACCATCCACCTTCCTTTATTTGTATAATTGCTTGCACGAGCACATACACACACACACACACACACACACACACACACACACACCATCTCCACTATTTTAAAGTTGTCTTTTTATCTTTTAATACATTAATCAGAACTGGACATTATAGAACTGCTAAAAGTGAGGAGAAAGCATATGATAAAGGACTGAATCGTTCATCATATAAAATTTTTCTGGACTCAATTCCTGATAAATTATTATCACAAATATTAGTTTCCCATAGGGGTCCTTTCAAATCACCACCATTAATCTGATAAGCATGGCTTACATATGTTTAGAATTTTCAAAAAGCAATACATGAAACCATTATTTGCCAAATGTAGTGTTTCCCATTAAGCATATAATTAGAATGTTTTAAATTTTTGAAAAAATTTAAATAACTGTCCTTAAAATAACATTCAGTATAACTCATTCCACTGATGTAAAAAATTAGTAGCCCAAAGGTCAGTAATATCAGTCAGGTGTGGAGCAAAGAATCTACTTTGCACTTGTCCAATGACAGCTTTAGTCTTCTTTGACATGATCAGCTCAGCGAAGAACAGTTTCACTGTTTGTATTGCCAGGAGCAGCAGGATGAGAAAGCCTGCTTTGCCCGACTTCTAACAAGGAGGCACAGGTGCAGCAGGCATTTCAGCAGGGATGTTCCCTAACAGCCTTGCACACCAGGACTGAAGCCCTTCCCCTATGTTCTTGTTCCATTACTACTCTTCCTTCGTCTGCCCCCTACACCTACTATCCTGGGAGGCCCCTGTTTACCAAGTGGCAGCAGGGACCATCTGTGTGGTAAGCAGGTGAAAGACAACAGCAGAGGACAAACTACTGTCACTGCTGGTGACAAAATGACCAGACTGGCTAGCTTCACAGCTACTGTAGAGGTAAGATGAAAGGAATATCAAGATTTGATTAAATGACTAGGAATAAAAACAGAATGATCTTAGAGAAAACCCCCAAACTGCCAAATCCCTAGACTAATGTAATTTCTTACTATGTGTAAAATAAAAGTATCCTTATATTTACAAATATTCCAGTCACCACTGATCAAAGAAACTTCTTTTGCACCAGATGGAGTCTAATACAGAGTACCACAACTGGTCATACATAGACATTGTAATTGCCCAAGCCTAAGTGGCATATCTACAATGCAACCTCTACACCCAAGGCTCATGGAACACAGAACAAGGGGTAAAGAAGACAATAATGAATATCTCATTTCTCATTAATGAAGCTCCCTCATGCAACAGAGAACCAGGAACACAAAACGTCACAAATGGCCAACGCATAGAGACTAAGAGTGCATAATGCTAGTACTTGAACAGGACTCCTATACTGAACTACACCCACCCAGGGGGAGGAAACAATTTAAGAGCCAGGGAGGAGGTGCATGACCATATGGAAAGAGTCCTACAAGCTCCTGAAACCCTGCTTATATGAACTTGCAGCAGTGGTGTCAGCATGCACAGGACCCATGCAAACTCAGACAAAAAGCCAGCATAGAACTGGGGAAATGAACGGTTGATCACAATTTTAGATGAAGAAATATTGGCAGCTGATTACTGCTGGGTGAGGAAGAACTGATTTCCTAAAGCAAGAGACTCTAGATAGGCTGACTAGAACTTAGTAGATGAACTTGCACCAAGGGGCATCCAGGGATACTAACTTGACACGACAGACCTTAACATAAGTGACAGAGACAGAATGTATGAATTCCAGTGGGGGGGGCTATGGGAGGGTGCCAGTGGGGAAGGGGTTGTAAAGATGATTAAGATTCATTGAGACGTTCTGTATGAAATACACAAAAATTCGGTAAAAATATCCACAGTGGCTAAATGGACCCCAAACAAAAGAGAACTATACAGTCATTCTGGGAGAAGAGCAGTTTAATGACAGGCCTGCAATTACTGTGGGCACAAAGACGTCTCCACAGAGCTCCCACACTGTACCTTGGTGCCCAACAGCTGCCTGTGCATGTTTCCTGGAGGGAACTTTGGGTTGGTTGCTTCAGGGTCCTCAGCCATCCATACCACCTACAATCCCTAAGCGATGCTGAGTCTAGCTTCCCTCACTGTTTCTCAGTCTCCAACACAGCAAGGACACAGCAAGTCTCTGAGTAGTCCTGCCACTCAGAGACTAAGGGACCAAGACCCTTCCAGTAGCAGTGTTCAAATTTTTAGGTCTTGGGGACACTATATATTGTTAAAAATATCAGAGTCCAAGAAGCTTATGCTTATGTGGGATATAGTCATTGTGCCAATTGTCTCAGAAATTTAAAATAAAAAATTAAAAAATATTTTGACATTATTAAAAGTCTTATTTTAAAATATTTTAAAACAATGGCTGAGGATATAACTCAGTGGTAAAGCACTTACTTAGCATGTATGACATCCTAGGTTCAGTTACCAGTACAGAAAAAAAATGCTATAATCATTGTATTAAAAACATGTTTATATAGGTAATATTTATTGTATTATCTTAGAAAAACTAAAACATACAATTTAAATATTTGTTTACTGATTCATTAAATGAAATAATGAAGTCATTACTTCTTAACAGAAATAAAAATCTTCATGAAAAATAGTATTAGTTTCCCTACTACTATTAAAAAAGGCAACAACAATAACAACAAAAACCTGAGATGATTGATACTACATCCATTTTTGCAAACTTCATTGAACATTTTGCTTAGTGGAAGACAGCTGGATTCTTATATATACTTCTGCATTTATTCTATGACTTTATGTTATTTATCCTGAATTACATGAGGAAACTCCAGTCTGACACAAACATGTAGTTGCAAAATAGGAGCATTTTTAGAAGCTTATCCAAATACCATCTGATACAATACCAAAACTTTCCCAGTGGTAATTTCTGAAAGGTTAGCGGCAACGTGGAGTTTGAAACAAGAGCACTGAACTTTTCATGCTCTATTACATTAAAACCAATTGGTCTTCTTTGCCCTTTGAATGGATCTTTGTGTATGATTTTTAAGCATCCTTGAGTTTTATAGATCTTCTAACAGTTGAAGTATTTCATTATATAATATGACTGTTATACATGGTAAACCCATCATATTCATTAATATGGCCCACCATCAATCTCATCAGGTAAGTCTCTAAGTACCAGGAAGGGGGCTGTCATTTAACAGAAGAGACAAGTTTACTAAAATCCTATTTTTACTTGAAAATTCCATTATTCTATAACTTCATTATGTTCATTTGAAAAAACTGCTAAATATCTGAGTCTGTCAACAATACTTTTTCAGTTATTCTTTTTAGTAAAAATGGCTTCACCATGGAAAAAATGGGCACCTAAGCTCACAAACAACCCACAAGAGCTTTTCCTGAAGACCTCCATTGTACTTCCATTAGATAACAAAGAAATGATTCGTTCTCATTTCATCTCACGGAATATTAAGTAGATGTGTCCTCAACTTGAGATATAATAATACCAGAAATGTTTCCTGCCTCATTAAGAATATTCTTAAGTAAACTAACATGACTTTTTACAGAGAATAAGTTATGACTAGTAGAATGGACTGAATTCACTGCCCTGATTTATGGCAACATTGTCAAACTCATCCACTGTGACTATATCACAAACAAAATGGTAGAAAAGAAGCCCCAGTCTCAGCTAAGGAACAACTGGAACCAACAGCTGCTGGGAGAGGCTCCAGTGGATGGAAGCACACTGAAGGACATTTGGGGACACAAATTTGACTCAATAGGCCTTTATATATACAGTAGAGTACATGAAATTGAGTGGGGGCAATAAAAGGGTACAGATGGGGAGGAGGGTCTTAATA